CAGGCCAAGCAGCATCAGAGGAGCAGGAAGGTTGACGTTTTGGGTCTAGACCCTTCTTCATTTCTGATGCTGCTTGGCCTGCTGTGTTCATCCAGCTCTACACCTTGTTATCTCAGATTCTCCAGCATTGGCAGTTCCTACTATCTCTGAGGTTATGCTGTAGCTGTACAGGGTGTTGGTGAGGCCACACCTGGAGGATTGTGTACAGTTTTGGTCTCCTTACTTGAGAAAGGATGGACTGGCGCTGAGAGGGGGTGCAGAGGAGGGTCACCAGGTTGATTCCAGAGTTGAGAGGGTTGGCTTAAGAGGAGAGATTGAGTAGACTGGGACCGTAGGAATTTAGAGGAATGAGGGGGGATCTTACAGAAACATATAAAATTATGAATGGAATAGATAAGATAGAAGCAGGGAAGTTGTTTCCACTGGTGGGTGAAACTAGAACGAGGGGGCATAGCCTCAAAATAAGGGGGGAGCAGATTTAGGACTGAGTTGATGAGGAACCTCTTCACCCAAAGGGTTGTGAATCTGTGGAATTCCCCACTCAGTGACGCAGCTGAGGCTTCTGCATTGAATGTCTTTAAGGTACCAATAGGCGGATTTTTGAACAGTAAAGGGTTTAAGGGTTACGGTGAGCGAGCGGGTAAGTGGAGCTGAGTCCACGAGAAGATGGGCCATGATCTTATTGACTGGTGGAGCAGACTTGATGGGCCAGATCACCTATTCCCGCTGCTGTTTCTTCTGTTCGTGTGTCTCTCTCCGTGCTGTACGAATCAATGCCTCTGTTTGGATTCCTTGATAAACAGAGCCACACATTATAGCATTAAGCCTGTCAGGGCCTTCACTCAGGTACCTAGGAACAGCAGTAGGCCATTCTGCCCATTGAGCATGCTGTGCCATTCAATAGCTGATTGAGCACGTTTTCCCATCCCTTAATCCTTCACACCGTGAACAATCAAAACTCCCCGTGTAGATGCGACAGTCAAGAAGACACAACAATGACTCTTCTTCCTCAGGCAGCTCAGGAAATTTGCCATGCCCGTAAGGTCCCTCACCAACTTCTACAGATACACCATAGAAAGTAAACTGCCCGGGTGCACAATGGCCTGGTATGGTAACTGCTCTGCCCAGGACCGTAAGAAACTACAGAAGGTGGTGCGCACAGCCCAGACCATCACGGAAGCCAACCTTCCGTCCATGGACTCTATTTACACAGGTCGCTGCCACGGAAAGGCAGCCAACAAAGACCCATCGCACCCCAGTTATGATCTCCTACAACCTCTTCCGTTAGGCAGAAGATACAGAAGCCTGAACACACACACAAACAGTTTCAGGAACAGTTTCTTTCTGGCCGTTATCAGACTGTTGAATGGACTCTAGCCTCAAATAGTGTGACCTGTGTGCTTCTGAGTCTTTTTGATCTGTACATCCCTTGCTTGCTGTGATCTGCCTTTATCCACTCGTAAACAAAGCTTTTCACTGTATTTCGGTACACGTGACAATAAAATCAAAATCAAGCACTCAGAGACTGAACACCCACAACCCACTGTGGTGGGCAAAAGGGAATTGTTAACTATTCCGCTAAGGAGGACAAAAGGGATCGAAGGGAAGTGGGAACAGGGGGCTGAGTTGGATGGTGAAGCATGCTCCAAGGGCAGAATGGCCTAGCCCTGCTTCTGGTTTAGATGTTGCTTTGTTTGTTTGTTATGCTTGAAGAAAACTCAAAAGACAAGATGCACACGCTGTTGGCCTTGACCCAAACAAAAGATTCCGGGTGCCCCAGGCCGTTAGAGACCATTTGGAGTGGCGGTAATGTCACTGGGCCAGCAATCCAGGGATCCACGGTTCAAATCTCACCGAGGGCGAAGCCGCCAGGGAACGTAAATCTAATTTTCACGATGGCCCACCCATTAACCCCAGCGGGTTCACTAATGCCCCCTTTCTGGAGTCCGTACCCACAGCGACGGTCGGATGGCGGAGCAGGCTTAACGGGCCGAATGGTCGAATCCTGCCCCCGTTGAGCAAGCCTACTCAATTCAAAGGGCAATTAGGGATGGGTTGCGGGAGGGGTTGAATTTGGAGTTCTCCGCCCCAGTGAATAGTTGGGCTGTCAAGGGCATAGTAGACTGAGGTGGCGCATGTGGGCCAGTGTGCCAGGGATTAGGTGGGCCAAGTGGGTTGAGATGGTGGCAGAACCTCGTGGACTGGCACAGCAGGGCCGAGTGGCCTGCGCCAGTGTGTGTGTGTGTGTGTGTGTGTGTGTGTGTGTTTAGACCCTCCCTTACCAGCCTCTCCTCATCGTGGGGACTCCCTCCTTCTCACGTTTGAACAGACGACCCCCCCCCCCACCCCCGCTCCCGTGTTGGGTGAGGGGTGGGGTTGTTGTGGGGGGGTGGGGGGAGAGAGGACCAATCGGCTGGCATGTGTGGTGGGGGGGAGGGGGGTGCTGCGGAGGGGTTGGCAGGTGTCAGAAGAGGGTGTCTCATTCACGCTCTGTTCCTATCCACAGATCGATCAGGTCCTCATCCATCAGAAAGTCGAGGTTGTAGAAGGTAAGGCGCATCGTCCCTAGCGCTCTAGCCCACCTCCTACTGGGTCACCGCCTGAGTCAGAGCGCTCTCTCCACCGCACCCCCCCCGAAAACCTCTCGAAGTTTCTCCCGGTCGGGCCCCGGCCATAGGCAGTGGGAGCAGGCCGTTGGGCCCTTCGATCCCTGTTGCCCCAGGCTTACAACCAGGAAGACCCCGCTCCCTCTCTGGATGCAGATCATTGGCCATGGTGTTGGAGTCCTTTGAAGGGGCAGGGGGGAGAGCTGCTCATGCCCTCAGTGCCTGGCATTGTGGGGAGAGGATGGGGCACCCGCTCCCCCTCAAACTCAGTTACTCTGTCGTTGACAATTACCCCCAATAACTCCTATTAATTACCCCCAAAAATTCTAATGAATTACTCCAATCGTACCCAGTAATCCTGTACGTTACCCTGAGTAATTTCAGGAAATTACCCCCAGTAATTCCATGGGTTATCCCTAGCAATTGGCGAAGGTTACTCCAGTAAATCCTAGAAATTACCCCAGTCACAGTTTACCCCCGGGGGGGGGGCATTAGCCCCCTGAGTGTTTCCCCGATCAACGTGGCTTCTGCTGCAAAAGCTATTTGTCCCCCACAACCCCGAAAAGTTCAGGCAGCGCCAGTCATCTTCGTACTGCTCGGCAATGGGGCGGGGTGGGGGGGGGGGGGGGGGGGGGG